ATTCTTTTTTCTCTGCTTATTAGCCTAATCCATGTGAAACAAGAAAGAAAAGTCTAAACACAAACATCCCTCCCAATGCTCTTGAAAGAGTTTCATAATAGTATCTATAACAGTAACATTATAGAGGGGTTAATGTAAAGACCAAATAATGGCAAGGAATGCATGCGCAACTCACAGTTAAGTAGCTGTGTGCATCTGAAAGCAGAATTTGGACTGCAGGGCCCAATCCAATACTTGCTACCAAGTATAGTGTTTACTCCCGTGAGTAGTCCTATTCAAATCAATGGGATTACTCTTGGTAGTAACTGTTTTCAGGATCAGGCCTATTGTTTGTTTAAAAAAAAACCATAACATCTAATCAAAACCATAATTTTAGGCAAAGGAGTTGCCTAAAAATGACTTGGTGGATTCAATCCAGACAACTAACCCTCATTTTGGCTGAGTGAAATCTGAAATACAGTGGTCTGAGTCAAGACTTTTGTGTGTCTCATGAGTAGGGCCCTACCAAATTAATGGTCCATTTTGATAAATTCAAGGTCATAGGATTTTAAAAATCTTACATTTCACAGTTTCAGATATTTAAATCTGAAATTTCACAGTGTTGTAACGATGAGGGTCTCAATCCAAAAGGGGATTGTGGGTGGAGGGGTAGCAAGGCTATGGTAAGGGTGGCAATACCGTGACACTCCTTATTTCTGCACTGCTGCTGGCAGCGGCACTGCCTTGAGAGCTGGGCTCCCAGCAGCCGTGCAGAAGTGAGGATGGTGTGGTATGGCACTGCCACCCTTATTTCAGCACAACTGCTGGTGGTGGCACTGCCTTCAGAGCTGGGCTCCCAGCCAGCAGCCGTGGAGCTTTCTGCAGCTGGGGGAGGTTCCCAGAGATGGGTCTGACCAGCCCCAGGAGCAGTCTGTGCAGAGGAAGAGGAAGTCCCGTCCCTCCCCAGCCCAGCTGGGACAAGCAGTGGGAGCCCGGCACATGATAGGAGCCCCCAGCTGGGGTGCTCCCAGCCCTGTCTCTCTCTATCTGCGAGTTCAGTTCTTGGGGTTTAAAGGGGCCTTGGTGTGTGTGTGTGTGGGGGGGGGAAGTAGGATTGCCAACTTTCTAATAAAAAAACCAAACACCTCTGCCCCGCCCCTTCCCTGAGGCTCCCATGCCCCTTCTCAGAGGCCCCACCTCCACTCGCTCCATCCCCTCCCACCGTCGCTCGCTCTCCCCCACCCTCACTCACTTTCACCAGGCTGGGGCAGGGGGTTGGCGTGTGGGATGGGGGTGAGGACTCTGGCTGGGGGTGCAGGCTCTAGGGTGGGGCCGGGGATGAGTGGCTTAATGTGCAGGAGGGAGCTCTGGGGCTGGGAACGAGGGGTTCGGAATGCGGGAGGAGGTGCGGGTTCCGGCTGGGGGTGTGGGCTCTGGGGTGGGGCCTCCCTACCTCGCCTGCACAGGCCCAGTCCAATCGGTATGCTCAGAGGCTGCCCACTGGATCATGTCTCCTTCAAAAACTTGCTACTGCTGCTGGAAGAGGAGGAGGTGCCCCAGGAAAATTCCGAGGTGGGTCTCCCTCAGTTACTCAAGTTGAAGCTGTTGCACTGTGGATAAATACTTAGTCATTGGTGAGAGAGAGAGAGATTCGGTAGCCAGGTGGTTAGGGTACCTAGAAGGTGGGAGACCCAGGGTCTAGTCCTCCTCCTCCAGTGAATTTCATTATTTATCCACAGTGGAACAGCTTCTGCAGAAGAGACTGAGGGAACCCCACATCAAAATATCCCACAGCCCAGTGGTTAGAGCACTCTCCTGAGAGGTGGCAGACACCTGTTCAAATCCTTTCTCCCCATTAGGCGGGGGGGGGGGGATTTAAGCCTGTTCTCACTCGTCCAAAGTAAGTGCTCTACCCACTGGACTAAAAGTTAAAGGTGGGCACCACCATTACTACTTCCTCTTTCACACCCAGCCATTTTGTATGGAGTGAGGCAGATGCCTAACTCACTGTCACAAAAAACAACTTAAGTGCCTAAGCAGCTTGACTTCAGGAGGCAGGTTCCCATTCATGAATCGCCAGCAGAGATAGGCACCTCCCTCCATCCCTGACTTAGGTACCTATTTCCATAAGGGGAAGGGGTTTAGGACATATCCCTCTCATTGGCATCTTCCATTGGCTAGCTTACGTGGCTCCCTGCCTAGTGTGCTGGCTTTTGTGGATGGCATTCTAAGGTGCCCGTCTCTTCCATTCATTGTATAGGGAGCCTAGGCAACCTCAGTCTTTGTGGCTCACAGTGTTTGTCCCTTTGCGGATCTGAGTTTTAGCCTCTCTGTCTTGGTTCCTCATCTGTAAAATGGGGATAATAGCACTGCCTTACCTCACAGGGGTGTCATGAGGATAAATATACTAAACAATGTGGGGTGCTCAGATATTATTGTAATGAGGATCTTATAGTACTATAGATAAATTAGAAGTGCTTATACTATAACTACTAGTATCTCAAATATGTCTTATGTTGCCAGTCCTCTTTTGTTTACATTTATAAAATATTAACTTATCTACTTGTGATGACTAGTGAGATGATTTTTGATTAAGATATTTAGCCAGTGTCTTCCTCTAAATGTATTGATCCAAGTCCATCCCTTCCTACTAAAAGTGGGAGGAAGTCTCCAAGGAATGCCCCCATATTATCCCACTGGGTGGGTATAATCAATGTGCGCATGCACGCAGCTCAGCCACATGGCAAACACTGTAGGATCTCCCCTCCCCCCCTGACCTTGATGGGTCTCCCAGTCTAGGTGAGAGCCAAAGCTATCTAGATAGTGGCCCTATGGTTTTACACCAGGTCACCCCTCTCTTTCCCAGCAACAGTACCCCCGAGCTGTGTTATCTGCTCCGGAGGTTCTGCGTGGGATCAAACAGCAACCTGCATCTAACTAGCCCCCACGTCACCCCTCCCATCCCCCCCCCCACACACACACTCTGTTTCAGCTCCTTATTTCCTGATCTGTGCAGTCTCAACTCTCTCTTACCTCCAGAGTGGACCCTGGAATGCATGGAGAGGCTTCCACTTGGTCTAATGGTGGGAATGAGGGTGCCAGGGATGTGGTGCTGCCTCCCTTTTGTGTGTGATGGTCTTCTGTGCTTGGTTTTGTGGAGGACAATCTGGGCCATTATTATGTACTAAGTAACCTAATTAAAATTTTACACTGATTAAAATAAATATAGAGCTACTGATCTCATCACATACCATTGAATGCTGTACTGCCTTGTATTCTTAACAGTTTATATATAATCTAAATCTATTTTATTTATAATTTCTATAACAGTACTACATTGACGCATGTTAGGGAACTTCTTGTGCCTACTCGGGCCAGTTAGTGTGCGACACTTTGGGGCAGACTAGAATTTACATCCCACGGCTGCAGACAAGCCCTAACCTAACAGTTAGTTGAGAAACAGAAAATATGCAGGTGGATAGTATGAAACTGTAGCTGCTGGGGAACATTTGTAATTTGATCAGTTTTTTGGGATTCAAAAATGACATACAATTTACAATAGAATCCCAATTCTTTGAATGCCCATTTCCCACCTCTCTGACCCCTTCTAACCTAATGCTGAAGATGTTTAGTGTCATCCACTTGGTTTACTTAAACGGAAATTTGACTGCACTATTAACTCTTCCATTAGATGTCAACTAAAACTATTACTAGAATTAGAGATTAATCCTATTCCACAACTTCATACAATTCTAGAGGAAATCTTTTGAATTCAGAGCGACACTTGTGACTTCTTTCCTCTATGAATCAGACATATATTTGTCAGTCATTGGGAAATCTAATTAATTAATTAATTAAACAACGTTTTTAAAAGTAAAATTATTGATTCAAATATAGTCAAGAGGGACACTATAAATCTCTATAAAATAAATAAGTAGCGTTATAGGTTTTGATCTGTAGACCAAAAAAGGCTGATGGGTCATTCTAACCTTACTCCTTGTATGTCAAAAGAGATATGCCAAATGACTTGCAAAATGTATAAAATGACAATCTGGTAGGAATGTATATAATCCGTGACAATATTTAAATAATGTCACAAGTAAAAAAAAACAAATGTAAATGGAATAATAATTCTCAAAAAATGAGTTTCTTAAAATACACCTCTACCCCGATATAACGCTGTCCTCGGGAGCCAAAAAATCTTACCGCGTTATAGGTGAAACCGCATTATATCTAACTTGCCTTGATCCGCCCGAGTGTGCAGCCCCGCCTCCCCGGAGCACTGCTTTACCGCGTTATATCCGAATTTGTGTTATATCGGGTCGCGTTATATAGGGGTAGAGGTGTAATTGTTGAAAGACCAAAAACTCCTGTAAAATACATAAGAATGGTCCTACTGGGTCAAACCAAAGGTCCATCTAGCCCAGTATCCTGTCTTCTGACAGAGGCCAGTGCCAGGTGCCCCAGAGGGAATGAACAGAACAGGTAATCATCACGTAATCCATCCCCTGTTGCTCATTCCCAGCTTCTGGCAAACAGAGGCTAGGGACGCCATTCCTGCCCAGATTGAAATATTCCTTTGACTCCCACTGGAAATCAGTTTTAAATAATGCAAAAGGTATGCCAGAAACAGGACTATAACACAAGTTCAATGTCCAAAACAGGTTAGGGTTTGAAGAGGCTTAACTTACCACATGGAATTTCCTGGTCTTCCTGATTAAAAATGTCCAAACATTCTTTTTTCTTAACCAGTGGCATTCTTGTAAGAAGAAAACTTCCCCAGACAAGTTTCAAGTAAACAAAACAAATTTACTCCATGTTTGAAAATAAATAAATTGTTCCACAAAAAGAAAAATGGCTCCCAAATTGTTACATTTATGTTTAAAAGAAATTATTTCTGTATGTACAAAAGAAATAATGAAATTAAAATTTAGTTTATTTTGCCTGCCCTTCCTCCTCCGCCCCCTTTTTACTAAATTATAGTATAAGATATTTAGTAATGTTTACTTTTTTTTTTCCAGTTTCCTTATAGTGCTGATCTGCCTCATATTCAGTGTGCTTTCTACAATTGAGCAATATGCAACTCTGGCCACAGGGACATTATTTTGGATGGTATGTACATTGATGTTCATTGGATTAATATGTCTCTGTGTATGTGTGTTTTCCTATTTTTTTTCTTAATTCGTATTTTTATGACTTGTTAAAATTCTGCCCTGTTACCTGGAATTTAAAACAGTAAATTCCTGCACATGCTCATTCATTATGCATGTGTTTCTTCACTCCCTTACACCAGTGTACATCCAGAATAACTCCATAGAAATGAATGTAGCCACACAGGTGCAAAATCAGGATGAGAGGGTAGTCAGACCCTGTATTCTGAACACCCAGAATTTCTGATGCAGCATGTCTGACCCATTTGAGACTGTTTCAAATAAGACTGCACCACTTCTCTTCCTGGAGTTCGTCCTTTCTTTAACCTCTCTTAGTCCACCGAAGACAATGGAAGCACTCCCATTGACTTCAATGGGAGATAAATCCAGCCTTAAGGCCCCATTTCACAGGGAGAAGACCGTCAGCTGGGTTAATTTGTCATAGCTGAGGATCTGCCCAGGGGCTTTCTCTTCAATAGATGCTTTCTCCAGAGCCCATCAAAGCTGCTACCTGTGTTTTCCAAGGGGATGGCTAAAGACAAATGCAAAGCTCAGGGCAATATTTCCACCGCACTCTAAGCACCTGTTATCTTGAACATGTGGGTCCATATTCAAGGCCTAGATTCTAATTTTCAGGGAGGTAATTCATTTGTTGTCACAATACTGCCAAGCTTCTTCAAAAATAAGTGTAGGTGTGCTGTCATAGGGTAACTGGTCCCTTTAAGAGGGAACAGGTCCAGTTCTCCTGTGCCTAACTACAGTAACTGACTCCCAGAGGGGTCAGATAGACAACACCTAGTAGCATCTATAAAAAACAGAGGGTGAGTGCTGCGCTTGAGAAATGCTGGAATGCCAGTGCCAAAAGGACTGGAAATGCCATAAGACTAGGGTTACCATATTTCCACAATCAAAAAAGAGGACACTGGGGGGGGAGGAGCCCCGCCCTAGCCCCGCCCCCATCCACTCCCTCCCACTTCCCACCCCCTGACTGCCCCCCTCAAAACCCCCAACTCCCCGCTTCTTGTCCCCTGACTGCCCCCTGCTGAGAACCCCCCACCCTAACTGCCCCCCTAGGAACTTACCTGTCCCCTGACTGCCCCGACGCTTATCCACTCGCATGGGTGGCAGGGTTGTAGAAATTTTGGTGGTGCCCAGAACCTGCCCCCCCCCCCACCTGCCTAAGGCTCTGGGAGGGGGATTGGGTGGGGGGAGGAAGTCTGGGGTGCAGGTCCTGGGTGGGGGGAGGAAGTCTAGGGTGCAGGAGGGGTGCAGGGTGCAGGCTCTGGGATAGAGTTTGGGTGCTGGGTGCAGGCTCTGGGCTGGGGCAGGGGGTGGGTGTGCAGGAGGGAGTGAGGGGTGCAGACTCTGGGATGGAGTTTGGGGGTGGGAGGTGGTGCAAAGGGAGGGGGTGCAGGCTTTGGGAGGGAGTTTGAGGGCAGGAGGGGGGGTGTGGGAAGGGGGAGGGGGTTTGGGAGTTTGGGGATAGGAGGGGTGCAAGGGTGAGGGCTGTGGGGCTGAGGATGAGGGGTTCATGATGCAGGAGGGGGCTCAGGGCTGGGGCAGAGGATTAGGGTGCGGGAGGATGAGGGTTGGGGCTGAGGGGTTAATGATACAGGAGGGGGCTCATGGATGGAGCAGAGGATTAGGGTGCGGCGGGATGAGGGTTGGGGCTGGGGATGAGGGGTTTGGGGCGTTGGAGAGGCTCAGGGCTAGGGTGGAAGGGCAGGGTAAGGGCAGCCTGTCTTGCCATTTGTGGATGGGGGGCACTAGGACCCGGGGGCAGCAGACAGCAGTTGCTGCCGGCTCTGGCAGTACAAGCAGGCATGGGAGAGGCAGGCGGGGGGGGGGGGCTCACGGGGGGGGGGGGGGGGGGGGGGGGGGGGGGGCAGGGGGAGGGGCCGGGGACCCATCCAACCCTCCCCCCGCTCCCTGACTGCCCCCTGGGACTCCCCTTACCATGCTCATGTCCACGTGTAGGCAAAACACGGCTGCAGCAGCAGGGGGGAGCAGGGGAGGGCTCTGGCTGCTGGAGGCCAATGGGAGTGGGTCAGTCGGCCCAGCCGCCCAATCAGCAGCCGCACTCTGCATGGAAGGGAGGGAGGGAGGGAGGGGAGGGGAAAAATCCCGGACCTTTTAACCTTGTTACCAATTCCTCCCGGACGGCTATTTAGAGACGCAAAAGCCGGACATGTCCGGGGAAATACGGACGGATGGTAACCCTACATAAGACACCATTCCAGCTCCCCCAGAAACTGCTGGAACAGCATCCCAGAGTGTTCTGGCAGGACATGAGCACTGATAAAGAGCCAGGAAGTAGTTAAGAGAAGGAGAAAGAAGAGGCAAGCAGCAGCAGGAGGAAGAGGAGGAGCAGGGAGCTGGTGAGGGTTCCCTGAAGTGAGCTGCATGAGCCCCCTCAGAGAACAGGAGTGGGGAGGGGACAAGCTGGTGCAGAGGAAGAACTGTAGAGAGTTTGTGGGACGGGACTGACTGGAGTTGGGGAAACCCTACCGGGTGGAAGACTCATATGGCAGCCTTTAGGTAATAGGAAAGATCCAGGGCAGGCCAAACCCAAGAGAATAGGGTGATTCTGCAGGAATTCAGCAGTCATAGGCATGGGGAGCACAAGGCTGTGGGGAGCCCACTCGGAAAAGACCAGAGATGAGGATTATTGCAGAAGAGTTGCAAGAAAATTGAAAGGGCCAGTGGGGTGGAGACTCTGGAATAGGGATTGTGACCTCCTAGGTACATGACTTGGAGAGTGGGGGTCCCAAGATAGGGATGGCAGAGCTGGTGAATTGCTGTCTTTTTATCTTGTTTTACTTTGGGGTTTGTGAACTGTTTCACTTGGTGGGATCTGCAAATGGCTGCACTTAAAGTAATAAATGATTCCTGGACATTGGGATTTTATTGAATTCTAAGAGGGACAGCGTTCCATTCCTGGGCACATCAAATGGTTGCTAGTCTAGTCTGTGGAAAGGATGGGCAAGTTGGTCGACTGAAGAAAGGGAAACTGAGGTAGGATGCACCTGTCACTCTGCGGTTGGGTACTTAAGGAAAAGCTGCCATAATGGGCCTTATGAAAGATGTGTAATAAGATAAATTGTGATTTTAGCAGTAACTAGTTAAAGCATTGCATTCAGGACAGAAAATATGATGTTCCGTTTTCAACACTACGGACTTCAGTCCATTCTCACTTCTGTCAGTATTACACTAGTATAAACCCAGAGATATCAATGGACTTCTTTCTGAGTTCACTGTGCATTTGTGTACGTGAGATAATTGGGCCCTATCTCTAATTCTTATGTATTCATCTGCTAGGGTGACCAGACAGCAAAAGTGAAAAATCGGGATGGGGGTGGGGGGCAATAGGAGCCTATATAAGAAAAAGACCCAAAAATCGGGACTGTCCCTATAAAATCGGGACATCTGGTCCCCCCCCCCCCACTATCATCTGCTAGTATTTTACTGGTATTGGGTTCGGAACCAGTCATCATTTACTATATCATAATACTGTGCTTCGTATTTATGTAGTGCCTTTTGTCAAAGATCTCAAAGCATTTTATAAAGTTAATGTGGGCACATAACATTATCATAGACTCATAACATTATCCCCACCTATGGCTGAAGAAAATCAGAGACAGACACATTACTTGCCGAAGATCGCATGCTGAGCCAGAGTCCAGAGTGAATGTAGGTCTCCTGACACCCAAACTCTTCCTATCACCACTAGCCATACTGCCTCCTTGCAGGATAGTTTAATATATTAATTTATATACCCAGATATATGCAAGTTCATGTTCCCTTTTTGTTAGGTAAGTGGAGTTTCCCTTGATGGGATATTTTAGGACACACTGTTATCTCTTAAACCTCACTTGTGCTATTAAGCTTCCAAATACCCTTGCTTTAAGGGTGTTCCCATTGATTTCAGTGTATAACCATTATGTTATATAGAACATTTACCTTCCTATAGGCCAGGGGTGGGCAAACTTTTTGGCCCAAGGGTCACATTGGGGTTGCAAAACTGTATGGAGTGCCGGGTAGTGAAGGCTGTGCCTCCCCAAACAGCCTGGTCCCCACCCCCTATCCGCCCCCTGACTGCCCGCCTCAGAACCCCCAACCCATCCAACCCCCCTCGCTCCTTGTCCCCTAACCGCCCCCTCCTGGGACCCCCTGCCCCAACCGCCCCCCCCAGGACCCCACCCCCTATCCAACCCCCCCATTCCCCGTCCTCTGACCCCTGTCCACACCCCCACCCCCTGAGACTCCCACGCTTATCCAGGGCTGGTGCAACCACTAGGCGAACTAGGCGGCCGCCTAGGGCGCCTAGTGGTTGAGGGCGCCTAAAAGCCCGCTCAAGTGAGGAGGTGGAGTGGAGGTGAGCTGGGGCGGGGGGCGCCGGGAGGGCCGCCCGCAGTAACGGGGGTGGGGGGCGAACAGGGGAACCACTCCCCGCCCCAGATCACTTCTACTCTGCCTCCTCCACTGAGCACACAGTCCCCGCTCTAATTCTCCTCCAATCGGCGCCGCAAGCCTGGGAGGGGAGGAGAATTAGAGCGGCGCTGGCGTGCTCAGCGGAGGAGGCGGAGCGGAGGTGAGCTGGGGCAGGCTCCTCGGGCGGGGTTAGCTTCCGCGGGGGGGGGCTCCCCGGGTGGGCGGGGTTAGCTGCCGTGGAAGGGGGCTCCCTGGGCGGGGTTAGCTGCAGAGGGGGGGTAGCTGCTGTGGGGGGGGCTCCCTGGGTGGGCGGGGTTAGCTGCTGCGGGGGGGGCTCCTCTGGCGGGTGGCCGTGGTTAGCTGGGGCGAGGTTAGCTGGGGGGAGGGGGTGGCGCAAGGTGGAAGTTTCGCCTAGGGCGCAAAACTTCCTTGCACCGGCCCTGCGCTTATCCACCACCCCCCATTCCCCATCCCCTGACCGCTCCCCAGAACCTCTGCCCAATCCAACCGCCCCCTGCTCCCTGTCCCCTG